TCCAATACTTGAGGCGGTGTATCCAGTATTTACTCCTTTTGATGAGACATGCATATATTAGTTAATGTGAATGCAAAGAAAATAACAAAATGCAAAGAAAATAAGAAATGCAAAATGTCTAAATATATGATGCATGAAATGTCTGAGGCATTGATCCAAAAAATGTGCCTGTTATTCTGAATAACCCCTATTGGTGACAAAAGTGTTACGTCTGAAGAGACAAAAAACTCTTTTTGATGGTATGAATCCTGTACAGCTTCTGACAGGTTGATTCGTCTTTTTCACTAGTTGAATATCCTGCCGAACCATCCCGGCTCCTTTGGCTAAAATGTGCAAATAATGAGATGCTTGCCCCCAAAAGGTCTCGAAGGACTGCATCTCCGGCTCTCACTATCTGCCGAGCTTTTTCTAAAAATGCCATTGGAGCGAGAGAAACTATCCAAAGCTTGCTTCTTGAATTCATCAGCAATGGCATCCCGCTCAGTTAGGGTTTCACCATCTTGTTCTTGTAGTTTTTTTTAAAAGGAGCGACCGGGTCAGTGACCTTTTCCTCGTATTGCCCCTGCAACTTTGCCTTTGAGTATTCTCTGACCACGGCTGGACTTCTGAGCTTTTTATCTCTTTGTATTGTAACCCCTTTGTCCATTAATATTGATTATTCATGTTTAACAAACACATTTTTGGTGGATCAACACCCCGTTTTAAATGATGCGAATGATGAAAATAAATAAAAGAAAACAAAAATAAAAAGAGTTAGTGAGGTAAATCAAAACAAAAATGAAAAAATCCTACCCCACATGATATCTACCCCACATGCTTTAATTCCTACCCGGACATGATCTATATCCCGTATGCTAATTTCAAACAAATCCTAGCCGCATGTTTGTCTAGTTCGCATGCTTTGAACAGAAAATAAAGCAGGAAATAAAACAGCCTAGGGTTTGGAATGAGGTTTCGGGGTGGGCCCTAATTCCCCGTACTCTCCCGGTTTAGGTTCTAAAAAGGTACTCGAGTTCTCCTTGCCGGTGCCCCCTTGGGCTTGCCAGACCCTTAGTCCTAAGCTCATTACAAGCTTGTGTGGACTAAGTTAAACTCGAGAGGACACATTCCCTTATGCCCATACGGAGAATAAATTCACACGAAGGCATAAGGTATATGAATCCCGAAGGCTACTTGCTAGGCATATGCGGTGAATAAATTCACACGAATGCGTCGCTTTCACCCCCACTTAAAACGGGTTCGGAGCTCGGGTTTAGAGCTTAGAGATGACAATTTTGAAAAACTCTGAAATCATTAAAAAACGTCAGTACAACTATTTATTTCAAAAATAATCACAAGTAAATAATTGGAATCGAATAAATAAATTTAAATTTAAATTTACTATTTTCGCATAAAAAGACAACTGAAAATTAATTCTGGCCTGACTCACTTACCTATTCCCAGTGGAGTCGCCAAGCTGTCGTAACCGTCTTTCGGTTGGGCCCCGGAATTGGGCTTCGACTTAGATTAATTGGGTTAGAGTCGCCACCGACCACTTTAAAACGAATTTAGGTGGGTCGGACACCATCTTACCTGATCTGCGTTGTACCAGAAATGTGTCGGGCTCGGGAGTCGGTTACGGTCAAGGAAGGATTAGCACCCTTGAACCTCCCTTTCGGTACCAATTAATTCGTCGGTTGTCTTAATCGCGAAAATAAAAAATTAAATTAAAATTTAAAATATTCAATTCGAATTGTTTACCTCTGATTTGTTGAAATTCTTCTAAAAAATCAAAAACGTTAGGGGGAAAAATAACAATAAATAAATATTAAATGAATCAAAAAAAAAGTCGAAAGAAAAGAAAAAAAAAAATTATAATAGGGCGAAAATAATATATATATATATATATATATATATATATATATATATATATAGAAAAACATAAAAAATAAGATAGTTGTAATAAATAATAGAAACTATATACAAAATCAATTAAACAATAAATCAAAAAGAAAAAAACAACTATACATGTATATATATATGTATATAAATCCCGAAAAAAAATGATAAAAACAGAAAATAATAATGAAATAGAAATAATAATAATAGTATAAAATATGTAGAAGTGACTAAATAGAATAAAATGGCAATAGAAGGTCGAATTGGAACACAAAAGATCTCCCTTAAGTGAAATAGGACTGAAACGTAAAATATGATTTCCTTTAAGTGGCCAAGATGAAACGTATACAAAGTAAGGCCCCCTCTACACGGTTTACCCATGCGTTGACCCGAGAGATGCCCTAGACTCACCTAAACGGCGTCGTTTTGGGGGGTTTATATACCCCTTATATGCGATTTTGGCTAACACTCTCCCTCATTTCCCTAATCTGGCCGTTCTCTCCTCCTCCTTTTCTCTCCTTTCTGATACAAACATCAACCACACACAAAAAACCTTACAACCTCTTACCCAGAAAATGTTACCTTTGATGGCCTTTCACTTTCCCGGTGGTTTCTTCGGCGAGATGCACTCCGAGCCTTCGCCTTTGGATACTGTTGGCTTCGGCTTCACTTGTTTTCGATGGGTTTTTTGTGTTTATTGTTATGCTTTTGCTCTTGGTTGATGGTTGCGATTATGTTTGGCTTTGTGTTTCGCTTGGGTTTCTCGTTGATCTTGTTTTGGTTATTTGGTTTACTATGTTTATGCTTCTGAGATTTGCGTGGCTCCTCCTGTCCCGTTCTGTCTGGGGGTATTTATACTCTCTCGGCCGGTGAGCGTTACCGAACTTCACGGGATGGGTCAGTCCCGTGTGGTGGCGCGATTTTCGGCCTGTGGGAGACTGAGCTGTTGTGACTCGATTCTTGCGAGATTTGCGTTCTGTTATGGAACGTGTTTGTTGCATGTTTGACCGGTTTCATTTCCGGTGACGACTGATGCTTCTGGCCGTTGAAATTGCTTCTGGATGTTGACTTGCTTTCTGGCCGTTGGATTGGGTCAGATCCAACGGTCCATATTGACCTGTGCCCTTTCCCTTTTTTGCCGTTGATTCGTGCGGTGCCTTAACCTATGCTGAAACCCTAACTTTGAACTTTAGGCTGGATCAGGCCCTCGAGACTTATTAGACTGTTTGGACCCTGAAAAAAAACATAAAAAGAAAATAATAAAAAGAAGATAATAATAATACTGATATAATATAAATTATATAATACATATATTTCAAAAATATTTTTTTAAACTATATATATATTTAAAAAGTTTTCAAAACTATATTATAGTTTTCAAAATGTTTTAAAAATATTATATAAGTTTTAAAAAACGTTTTTAAAGCTATATATTATATAATTTATTTAAAAATGTTTTTAAAACTATATATATAAGTTTTTAAAATGATTTAAAATTATATGTTATATATTTTCTAAAATGTTTAAAAACTATATGTTATATAGTTTTCAAAAATATTTTAAAAAACTATATATTACCCATATTTTCAAAATGTTTTCTTTTTAAAAACTATATATTATATATATATTTTCAAAAACCGTTTGCAAACCATATAATATGTATAAGTATATATGTATAAAATAAAAAATATGGACGGAAATTAGTGTCTACATATATTTTTTCACTTTGTTTTCCTTTTTTTGCTTGTTTAGAATCCTACTTTTGTTGTATGATTTGGTTTGAATCCACCAGTGTCTTTGAGGGGGTTTTGCAAAATTAGGGGTTTGGGGTTTTGTACCTTTAGGGTAGCTTCTAAAGGTTCGATTTGAAGGGAAATTTTGTTTCTTTTTGGTGTTTTTGCTTATTGGGTATATGCCAAGATCGCCTGGGGTTTACCTTTTCCCCCTGAATGCTTTAGGTTTGGTAGGTGTTTGATATTTTTCCCAAGTGGATTAGATATGTGATGTCTATGAACAACAATAATCCCTCCAAGAGCCTTGGGGAGTCTTCGTCGCCGTTTGCTAATGCGGGGATGGTAACTCCATCGACGCCCGGAAACCCCACATTCTCGCAGGCATAGGCACAGATACATGCACCACTAAGTGCTGGTTTACAAGCTCAGTTTCAGGTATCACAAGCTCAGGCCCATGCTCGAACTCAAGGGCAGCCTGTTCATGCACAATTCCAAGCACAACTTCAAGCTTAAAGTTTGGCCCTTAGCCAAGCTCAAAATGCTGACATTGATAATTTAGGTTCACCTTCGTCATCCATGTCTACTCCTGGAAGTGCAAGTGCAAAGAGGGTCTTTCAAAGCCCCCCCCCCCCCATGCGTCATGTTGCTGTTCCGATGACAAACACGATCTCTCCTTTGAGAGCAATGGAACTTGCACATGCCGCTAGAAGAAACCCCATGCGTCATGTTGCTGTTCCGATGACAAACACGATCTCTCCTTTGAGAGCAATGGAACTTACACATGCCGCTAGAAGAAAGAAGCAAAAGGTTCCTGACAAACAGCTACAAGAAAGAGTGGCTACTATTCTTCCCGAATCTGCTTTATATACCTAGCTTCTTAACTTTGAGGCACGAGTTGATGCTCCGGTAGCTTGGAAAAAACTTGAATCAGGTCTTTTTTGCCTTTGAGTCGGATTTTTCGTTGGCTGGAGTGAACCAGACAAAAGGAGAGTTTCCCCAACACGACCTCGGCCACAACCATGGCCGTCGCCGGAGCTGAAGGAAACGGAGAAGGGGAGGATTGGAGGAGTGCGCCTGGTAAGAGATGGGGTAATATCTCATTTACCCTATCTTTTAATTATTTTATTTTTTTCCGACATAGAATATAATTATATATTAATAAAAAAAAAGTCATATTATCCAATTGTGAGCAAGAAAATAGTCCGGTGATAAAAAATACTAATCTATAAAATTTAACGAGTAAATTAAAAAAATTAAAAAAATAATAAATAAAATAAGAGATAAAATATAAAATATAACGAGTAAAATAAGAATTTCAATTAACCAAAACTTTCTATCATTTATCTCAAATAACTTTCTATCTATCTCATCACTGGAATCATCTCCCCAATCTAATCCAACCAAAACTGAAAGAATTTCAATTAACCAAAACATCCCAATCTTCTATAAATGAATTTCAGCAAAGTTTTTTCACTTTCAGATTCCAACGGTCATGCCAAGAACAAAACAATCTTGAAGTCTTGTTTGTTCTCATTTTATCAAAGCAACAATTATTCTACAACATTCTTCAGGGGGGAAAAAAGGAATCATTCGAGTACCGCTGTAGCACCCAATTCCTGGAGTTTCTTAATAATGGCTTCAGCATCCTCTTTCGTAACTCCCTTTTTAACCACAACCGGAACTTTCTCCACCAGGTCTTTAGCTTCTTTTAATCCCAAATCAGTAAACGTCCTCACTTCTTTAATTATCTTTATCTTAGCCGCCGCATCGAATTTCTCCAGCTTTATATCGAACGCCGTCTTCTCCGCGGCTTTCGTTTCCGCCGCGCCCGATCCGGCCGACGCGGCTGGGGAGGTGACACCGGAGACTGCAGGACCGTAGCGGTTGAGGCCGAGTTTGAGACGGAAGAGGATGGAATAGTCATAGCGTTCGAGCTTTGTAAGATCTAAGAGCTCGTCGGCGATGCGCTCGAGTTTCTGGGTCCGATTCTCGCAGGTGGCGGTGGAAAAGAAGCGGAAAACGGGCGGCTTCGGTGAGGAAGAAATGAGGTTCTTGAAGAGATATATTGTGAGGATCTTTTGGACGATGGAAGCCATTGTTGGAGACATAAAGAGTGGATGTTTCACTGTTAGGTTTGGGGTTTTAATTTAGAGGAAATTGGTCGAGGGATTTTAAAGGAGATGGGAATACTTTCGGGATTTTACACATTTAAATTTTATTATCACGCCTATTTTAATCATGTACTTTTAAATTTAGCAACTAAAATTTCTTACCACTTCTATTTTACTCACTAACAGCTTGATAATGTGAACTAATTTAATATTAAACAGTTTACATGGTATTTTTCATTATATTTTATGTCAAGTAAGATTTAAAATAAAATTAAATCAAATGACTACCACCAAGTTCAGATCACCGCACAAGCTCGAAAGTGAGAAAAATAATTTTAATGTTACTCGATACTCCAATCTTGTACGTGACAACTCTTTCCCTGACTTCCTTTAAACTAGCATTGATAAAGATCAAACCCACATTTTCTTAGAGCAAAGGGATAAGGTTAAGGAAAGCTTGGTTTTAAGATGCAAAAAAAATAAAATAAAATGAAAAAATAGGTACTTAAGTTATATTCTTTACTTATTATAGATACATAAAGCATTTTTTGCTCAATATAAGTATACAATTTTCTCTATTATTATTTTAAATACTCACATGGTAATGATCATTAAAAAGATCTATTAAAATCAATCAACTAGTCAATATTTAACATGAGTCTATTTTTTTTTATTTCTTTAATTTAAAAAAAATAAAATTCATAAATTAAAAAAAAAATAGATTTCCTATTTTCATAAAAACATTTCAAAATTCATAAAACTAAAATATTCTTAAAATTCCTAATATCAAATATTGTTTCTGTCGGCCATCGTCGCTATCAGTGATAACAGACTCACTTGGCCACACTTTTGATAAATTGACCGATCTATGGATTGTAAATTGCAATCCAATCCTAATCCCCACTTTTGATATGCCAAATCTCACGTAGGAAGATATTTGGCTAAATCACACGCATAGCATATTTTCCACCGGCAGGACATTTGGGTCTTGAGATTTCCCATCGACAGATTTTTAACGCAATATCGACGAGTAGATTTCTAAATCCGTTTGAGATTTTGAAATTTAAGATTTGAGATTTATGAATTTAAAGTTTGGAATTAGTGATTTGGATATTAGGATTTAGGGAATTTGAAAGAGACGGAAGAAAGATGCAAAGGCTTTGCAAAACTGGAAGTTATGTACCAGAGATGATGGAGTTGGAGATTCTCTCCAAACTTCCTGTTAAATCCTTTATACGTTTCTTCAGGTGCATTTGTAAGGCTTTGTCTCCATCTTTTCAGAACGCACTTTTCATTACCGAACATCACCACAACCACCTCAGAAACAACCTTAATCTCCTCCTCAAACGTTGTTATGGTAACACCCATGATGACATGTATTATTTCTCTCAGCTTTCGACTGAGAAATGTCAAATTTTTTTGGTAAATCATAACATTCGCTAACCTTTTTTGAGGATTGTTTGTGTGCTCTTCAAGTTTATGGTCCTTGTAATGGATTGTTCAAAAAAGTTTAATCTGATCGGATCGAATCCGTCGGATTCGGCTCTCGTGCCCATCACTTGTCAATAACCCACATTACGTCGTTGTTTTCCTCCGGCTTCTTCCACCGCTTTTGGTGCAGCCGGTTCCAACTTCATCCGTCCCCCAAACTTCATAATTCAACTGGACACATTGAATTGGGCAACTAATGCCCCAATTTTCGGGGAGTTTAATCCCGATTTTTTATTTTCCTTTTTTATTTTTTAATTTTTAATTATTGTATTATTATTATTGTTTTAAATATTTTTAATAATTTATTAATCCTAAATTGACTATTACAATAGGATAAGCTCATGGGCTTTAAGTTGCCAAGGGCTCTGTCTAGGAAAATAGCTCCAGTTCTTTTAATCTTCCGCATCTTTATCAATTTCTCATTTGTCTATCCTTAACTAAAATCTGAATGAAATTGAAAGTGTTGAGCAAAACTGGAATCTTTGTACCAGAGATGTTGAAGTTTGAGATCCTCTCCAAACTTCCTGTTAAATCCTTGACACGTTTCAAGTTAGTTTGCAGGGATTGGTCTTCATCTTTTCATACCAAACTTTTTATTACAAAACATCATCAGAACAACCTCAGAAACAACCACCTTAATCTCCTCCTCAAACGTAGTCATGGTAACACCCATGATGACATCTATTATTTCTCTCAGCTTTCGACTGAGAAAGGTCAAAACTTTTCGGTAAATCATAACATTCGCTTACCCTTTTTCGAGAATAATTTTTATGCTCCTCTAATTTATGGTCCTTGTAATGGATTGTTGTGTTTACATGAATTTGCTAAGGTTGCTCTTTGGAACCCATCAACTAGAGAGTTGAAAACCCTTTCTCAATCCTCAGTCCAACGCCCTCCTAATCTTGGTTACACCGCTTTTGGCCTTTGCTTTGGTTTTGGATACGATCCTCAAACTGATGATTACAAAATTGTAAGATTCGTTGTTAATTATGTTGTAGATGATGGATATGAAGATAGTACGCAAGTTGAGTTATATTCACTTAAAAGCGATTCAATGACGGAAATTGTAGTTCCTTACGAGGGTCCTTATGGCGGTGTTGTGTTTAATACATACGTAAATGAGTTTTATTATTGGCAGGCACTAGGGGATTCCGGTGAGCTTGTTCTTGCATTTGATATGGCTGATGAAAAGTTTTCAACTTTACCTATGACTGAATTTTTTTCCGGTGAGCTTGTTTAATACATACGTAAATGTTGTAGATGGTGAATTTTTTTCTTGCAAGCTCGGATGATGAATTAGTGTTGTTTGACCCCTCCACACGAGAGCTTAAAAATCTGGGTATCCATGCTTATGAAAGATCAATGCAAATTATTGCTTATGTTGAGAGCTTGGTTTCATTCAATGGAAGATCAGAGTAAGAGGAACGTATAATACGTGTGCATCAAATTCATATCGAAGACAATGATGGATAGGACGATGGGATTTTCCATTTTATTTTGTTTTAGTGCTTTTGTCAATTTTATACCTAGAAAACTGTCTATTGGTTTACTTTAATTTACAGGTGCCAGACATGGAGTGGGTTGCATACTTAAATTATGCTTTAGAAAACTCCATATCTTCAATAATTGAATGTATTTTGAAGTTGAATATAGGCTATTAGTATTGTTGTTGTTATGATCATGTCTTGTTATATGTGAAGCAATTGTTATCAACCCCTACTGTTCAGGATTACTACGAGGGCCACCGTTTTTTATAGGGTCCGTATTTTTCTATTATATTATTTATTTTTATAATTGATTACTTCAATTTTATTTTTAATATTTATAATTGAAGTCTCTAATTTTTGAAATCCCACTTTTTATCTTTATAATTGGGGCTTTAATATTTTTAATCTCACTTTTTTATATTTCCACTTGATGACCTTAATAATTTTCAATCTCACTTTTTACCTTTATAATTGAGGTATTTGATTTTTTCAATCTCACTTTTTACTTTTAAAATTGGAGCCTCTAATTTTTTTTAATCTCACTTTTACATTTATAATTGAGGCTCCTACTTTTTTCAATCTCACTTTTTACCTTTAAATTGAGGTCTTTATTTTTTTATATACTTTTTACCTTTATAATTGATGTTCCTAATTTTTTTTAATTATACTTTTTACTTTTATAATTTAAGCCCTCAATTTAATCATTTTTCTACAATTTATTGAATTAATTTTAAATTAATTATTCAAAATAATAGAATATACTTTTATTTTATAAGGAACTATTTTTTAATTTCGGGACCCCGAAAATGTCCAAGACTTTAATTACTACGCATATATATAATAATAATGTTCCTCTGTGGAATGTTTTTCTAAATTGTTCTTTTCAGCACGTTTGTATGTTCTGTACATCAGAATCGAAGTACTATTTTCAAGAAAATAAAAGAATAACTTTTGGAATACTTTGATTTTAATGGATATAAGTGAACTTCAAATACAAAATACTTAATTTTCAACTGAAATATCGAATTTACCCATTAATTGTATTTATAATTTTTTAATTGTAATTTAATTCGATTGCTCTAAAAATAATCTAATTTAGTATGTTTTTTTTTTTTGCATATTTTTATTATCGTTTTGGTGCTCTTACAAAAACCCTAACGATATTTAATTTTTAATTGATTTTTTGGTGATCACGTATAGTCAGATTTTTTCTTTGATAAAAGGTTGTTTGTCAATATAATAAAAAATGTGTAGCGAAACAACATGATAAATAGTTTGCTTCACGCACAATTCCTTTATCACATTGTAAAGTGCCTCATTTTTTATTTTCTAAATATTATTTTAGGAATTTAAATTGAATTCACTTTTTTATCGTTTTTATTATTTGAGAAAATAAAAATGACAAGAGTTATGACTTTCGAAATCAACATGTGTCTTTGATTAATATACGTATGTTATTGTTATTGTCCAACTCAATTCGTGCTTGTGCGATTATGTATCTTGGACTCACGTTATATGTGTTTGTTATTTTAAAAAAAATCATATACAATTTTTATATTTTTGATTTTTTTTCTTTTATTTCAATCTAATCCAATTAAGTTTTACAAATATCAACAAAAAAATATTTCCTATAAAATACACTTTTATTTATGTGACAGAAAAATGTATATTAAAATAGAAAACATATTAATAGCATTATGATTACATATTGATGATGTTTACGAGTTATTATTATGAGGGGATTTTATTTAAATATTATTTTTTATTAGAACAATGATATTTATAAATCATAAAATAGATTAAAAATATAAAAAATAATTAGATTTAAAAAATGAAATAATATTTAATTACTATTGAAAAATAAATCTCATCCCAAAATCCCAAGTGGATAAAAGCTATAAAGGACAAGGATGCGATGGTTAATTAATGAAAAAAGAGATCCTGAAATAGAAAAAGAAAAAACAATTATCCAAAAAGATCTGAGTCCTCTCAGCCACGTCAGCTCAATCCACACAAAACTCACCACTTTTCGCCTTCTTGTCGATTCCTCAAGCATTTCTAACGGCGGTAGCTATGGCGATTAAACGCCAAAAAAAGGCTCAAAACTTCTCTGAATCACTAATAATGGCTCTCTCCGATTTGCAGTATGTTCATTTTGATTTTGTTTTGCTTTAAATATTGTCCACAATTTCACGTTTCTCTACAATTTTCCTTTTCCCATTGTTCTTAATCTGTAAGTTTTACTTAAATGATATTACTTTACGGGGTTTCCTTTGTACAATTGGAATATAAAGGCATATAATGTTGATAATTTGAATTATAGGAAAATGTCCACCGAGTGTTCTGAGACCTTTTCTAAAGTGATAGTTAAGGAAGTTGAATGGTTGACAATGGATGTAAAAGATTAGAAAATTGTTTTTAAGCTCTGATAGTAAACATGAAGTTGTAGATTTCGATTTCGATTTCAGTTGCTTTGTAAACTGTACGTTTGATATGCATACAATCTGTATAAATACACTTGGAATTCTATTTGACTCGAAATTTGAGATAAATAAATGGATTTTATATTCTCAAATATCTATATAATTTCAAATTCACTATTATTATTCATCTAACAGTCTATCGATTTGAGATATAACTATGAATTAAACTTTCATATGTGTTCTATAAGACAGCCTATATTGTTTTTCAAATCCATCTTTTAAAACCCAAGTTTCTGAACACTACCTTAATTTCCTGTTAGCAAGATTATTTTTATAACTTTTCGATTTCCTGTTATTAATGTATTTATTTCTAGAATTCAATGGTGTTAAGAATACATGGATTGAATTTTGTTCTCACTTCTTTTAATTTAGAGGGTACAATTATGGGAGTCCGATTGTTACAGCAAATGGGTGCAACCGTGTTCTGTTTGCAAGTATTTGTGCAAGAAAGATGGGTTTGAGCTTCAAGGGTGCTGGTAAAGTTAGAGCTGCTTTGGTATCTGGAGAAGGGGATGTGTTATCTTATCGTAATGGTAATGAAATTGTTGCTGGGAAGACTGGTTTTGTGAATGGACTTGTTGACCTGCAAATTGGGATTGATAAACAACCTGATGCCATAGGTTTTGGACCACTTGCAGCCGAAATGATTCCTATGACTGGCAGTTTCTTTGGTGATGAATGTGACCTGGATCATCCTACAGAAGGGTTTGCTTCCATCCCCGAAGCCATTGAAGATATTCGTCAAGGAAAGGTTTGTTTGCCCTAGTTACGTGTTTGAATTTGATCTTCGTTTATAAGAATTATCACACTGCTAATTGAGGAAAATTTGCAGTTAGTAATTGTTGCAGATGACGAAGATAGAGAAAATGAGGGTGATCTGATAATGGCAGCATCAATGGCAACTCCTGAGGCCATGGCCTTTATTGTCAAGCATGGAACTGGAATTGTTTGTGTGAGCATGAAAGCTGAAGACTTGGAGAGGTTGGAGCTACCACTAATGGTAACACAGATGGAGAACGAGGAAAAACTTTGTACAGCTTTTACTGTATCAGTGGTATGTCCTCTGCTTTATTAAAGAGTACACGTGAAAGCTACTCCTTTTATATTTACCAAAACTCGCATGTTTGGACAATAAGATGAGCATTTTCTGCTAATGGTGGATCCCTATTTCGATTTTGTACGCTTGTTTTCTATAGCTAATGTAAAGTTTTGGTATCCTTGTTTTGTGATCAACTGTGTTGGTTTCATGCAGGATGCAAAGCATGGTACAACAACAGGTGTCTCTGCTCGTGATAGGGCGACAACAATACTGGCTTTGGCATCTAAAGACTCAAAACCTGAAGATTTCAACCTCCCAGGTCACATCTTTCCCCTGAAATACAGAGAGGGAGGGGTGCTGAAAAGAGCTAGGCACACAGAAGCTTCTGTTGATCTAACTGTATTAGCCTGGTTAGAACCTGCAGCAGTTTTATGTGAGATTGTGGATGATGATGGCTCAATGGCTAGGTTGCCAAAGCTTCGTGAGTTTGCACAGGCTGAAAAATTGAAGATTATTTCTATCGCTGATCTAATCAGGTATATCATTGAGAGCATTTTTCATAGAGGGTGTTGGTGTTGTTATAGTTAGGTCTTTTATTGATCTTCTGACCACTTAAGTCTCCTCAGACTGAAGTATATATATTTGGCATATGAACTAGTTTGTAATTTTAACTGCCAGATTTTTCTTCTCCTACATGTAATGGGGAAACTAGGACCTGCAAATTAATACGACCAGATATATGTGCTCATAATGTACTATAAGAGAAGAAGGAAGATTGACCTCGTTGAGTTGGTACTACTCCCTTCTTATGTTCCTGATCCCAGAAAATTAGAAAAAGTGTGAAGGCAGTTGAACTGTGCGGTCAATCATTGTTGCTTGTTTTTATAAGTTCTTCCAACTGTGTCTTTTTGTGTTACTTTGAATTTCTATTTAAGCATGCGTGTTGAAAACATGTTCAACATACAAGTTACGCATAGAATTTGGAACGGTGACCTACTTTTTTATATCTGGGTTCATCTGCATTTTTCCATTTGTTGATTATCGAATTAATCCATTTCGTGAAGTTATTAATATAACTGTAATTGACAGATATAAAAGGAAAAGATATAGGCTGGTGGAGCTGGCTGCATGTGCATTGCCTCGATCTGGGGGCCGTTTAAAGCATACTTTTATAGGTCATTGCTAGATGGGATCAAGCACATTGCGATGGTTCAAGTAAGCATCTAATCCGAATGCTCACCACCTTCGTCTGTTTCATATTTCGGTTCACTAAGCAATGATAGTCTGTTGCTCCATTAGCAACATGGGGAAACTGTTATCAATATGACTAGGTTGTATGAGTAGGACGTTGATTGGGTCTTGGAACATGCAGGGTGAAATCGGTGATAGCCAAGATATTCTTGAGGGTACATTCCGAGTGCCTTACCGGCGACACATTTGGGTCAGCCAGATGTGATTGCGGAAACCAGGTGGCACTAGCAATGAAGCAAATCGAGGCTATTGGGCAGGGTGTATTAGTTTATCTTCGTGGGCATGAAGGTAAAGGGATTGGTTTAGGCCACAAGCATCGTGCTTACAACCTTCAAGATGATGGACACGACACAGTTGAGGCCAATGAAGAGCTTGGATTACCAGTCGGTTTGGCCATTTCCGGCAGGGTACCTTTGTTGACCCCTGTAATCACCATTTTTACCTCTCCATTCCAGCAGCCCCTCCACGTTGCACATTCCAGCAGCTCCAGAAGCCAGCTGCCCCCTCCATGTTTCAGCAACTCTCCAACAACGACAACCGTCCAGCACCTCACCAGCTGTCTCTCCTCGTTATAGCTCAGCCGCCACACCCACGACCACCAATGCTCCACGTCCTAAATCAATTCATCATCACAAAACAAAGGATAATATTTTATTTCTTTTCACATGTAAATTGGGGTTATAAAAACCCTAGAATAATTCAAAAAAAAAAAGAGGAGTAAATACACAGCAAATTGAAAAGGAAAAAGCATTACAAAGGTTATTTTTACTTTTGATTCATTTTTTCAGCATTATATTTTATTTATTTATTTATTTTCGGAAAAAAACAAAGTAAGTTAATTAAATTAAAAAAAACAAAAAAGAGAAGAGTTGAAAGCTTTGGGTGTTCTGCTGTGTGAAAAATGAGAGGAAGAAGATGAGTTTTAAGTTTATAAAATGTTTGGGTAAACCACACGTCAGGTCTCTAGGCTTTAAGAGTTCATTACTTTATTCACTTAAAATAGGGAAAATACGAAATAATCCCTCTAATTTAGGAGGCTATTTATAATTTAGTCATTGCTATGCTTTTATATATATTTTAGGTAAATGACAGATTTAGTCTTTTAATTTTAATAATTAATATTTTAATCCAGAAAGCATGTTTTAATTTGTTTTAATTTAATTTTCGAATTTAATATAGTTTTAATTTAGTCACCAAATTAATAAATATGTAAAATAGCATAATCAGACACTAAAATTTTAATAAATTAATTACGAATTAGATATTTATTTTTAATACATTTTAATTTAGTCATTAACTTTAAAATTATTAGCTTTTATTATATAGTTTTAATCTCATTTATTTTAGTTGTTGATTTAATTTTATATGTTTATTTGCAATATATTATTATTATTATTATAAACATAAACATATAATAAATAATATTTATTTATTTTTTATTTTTTATTTTTATAATAATAAATTCTAATAATATTAAAGAAAATGACTGTCTTAAAGCATCTAGAAGTCCGTTTTCTGATATTTTTTATCATATAAAATATATATTAATTTTTAAGAAACATTTTTAATATTTATTTTATTTATTAATATAGAAGAAAAGAGCTATCTTAAAGCACCTAGAAGTCCTTTTCTAATATTCTTAAATAAATAAATATCCTATATATATATATTATTTTAATTATTTTTATAGAAATATTTTTATTAATATTTATTTACTTTTAACATTGAAGAAAATAGTTGTCTTAAAGCACCTAGAATTCCCTTTCTGATATTTCTAAGTAAATAAATATCTTATTATAAATATATATATATATATATATATATATATATATATATATATATATATATATATATATATAATATTTTCTTAAAATAAATTTGAAATAACATGATTAATAATTAAATATATTTTTGAATTTTTAAATTTCTAATAATAGAGACAAATTATAATTAATGAAGTACCAATTTTGGGCGTTGTGGGGTGTTAATCCTTCCCCAAACGTAATCGACCACGAATCCCTTTTTTATTATAAAAAAGAACGAATTTTTTGTTTATACGTAGATCAGTTTAAATTATGTTTTCTTAAAAACTATTTTAAAAGATTATTTTTAGGTATTTGACCTACTTAACCTAAAAAGGTCAATGGCGACTCCAAAATATTTCTAAAACACCATTTTTTATCCACATTACTTTTTCCAACCAAGTAAAATTTATACCCGGACAAAAACCGGTTACGACAACCCCAATAACTAAAGACAACAATGGATACAAGGAGACCAAAAGAGCAAAAATTGGGCTTACTTTTGGTTTAGAAGTAAACTTGCAACACTGCTTGTTATTTGAGTTGGTAATTTCATGTAGGTCTGCGCTCATAATAACACTTTGATATGATGATTTGGAAATGAAATATTAATTTATTGTTTGATTTAAATTTTTACACTAATTTAGAAGACTAATCAGTTTGTAATGAACATGGTCATATTTTATTTGTTTAAGTGTTTTTTTTTCTATGTATTTGAGCTTTTTTTAAGATAATAATTTTCTTGTTAAGTAGTGATACATGTATTTACACGCTTTTGACCTATTAAGCAAAATTAGTTATATTATTGAGACTCGTATCAAAATGATTACGCGTCTATATCAGTATATTATATTTATTTTACATGTATATGGAGAATGTTTTAAGATTATATTCTCATATTCGTGTTTGGACATGTTTTTGGTGCTGGAAACTAAGACAACAAAATTAATAAACAAAGCAGAAATATAGGCCAATATGAAATATAATGTAAAATTTAATCACTCTCATTAATTACTCTTCTAATTCCCATGAAGATTAGGGTGCTGTGAGGATTTAATTTGTAGCTTGAACCTAAAATTTGTCCTTTGTTATCTTCAACTATAAATCCTCAACATAATTTATTTTCTATATAGCATCGACGTTTGTTTTCACCAACATTAGGGAAGGACTGTGGAGGCATCGAAGAAAGATTTATAATTTATGTGGATGGAGGTAACAACACTTTCTAATCATTAACTTAGAAACAACTGTAGTGATTGAAATCCTCGATATATCCTTTGTCATTGATGAAAGGATAGGGTATTGAGATTAATGTTTCGTTTAATTCAAAGGGTTGGGTTGGCGTTCGAAACGTTAGCAGGATAGCTGCACGCATTGAATTGGTGGGATTTTGTTCCCAATTTTTTTCATTTTCCCTTTTTAATTATTGTATTTTTATAATTGTTTTTTAAACATTTTTAATATTTTACTAACCATAAATTGATGATTATATAATAGCCCAATGGGATAAGCTCATGGGCTTTAAGTTGCCAAGGGCTCAGTCTAAGAATATAGCTCCCGTTCTTGTAGTCTTCTGCATCTTTATCAATTTCTCTTTTGTATATCCCCAACTAAAATCTGAAGGAAGATGAAAGGGTTGACAAAACTGGAGCCTATGTACCAGAGATTTTGGCGTTGGAAATTCTCTCCAAACTTCCTGTTAAATCCTTGACACGTTTCAGGTTAGTTTGTAAGGATTGGTCTTTATCTTTTCATACCCCACTTTTCATTACCAAACATCATCAGAACAACCTCAGAAACAACAACCTTAATCTCCTCCTCAAACGTAGTCATGGTAGCACCCGTGATAACATCTATTATTTCTCTCAGCTGTCGACTGAGAAAGACTTTTCGGTAAACCACAACATTCACTTACCCTTTTTCGAGAATTATTTGTATACTCCTGACGTTTATGGTCCTTGTAATGGATTGTTGTGTTTACGTGAAAATGATAGAGTTGCCCTTTGGAACCCATCAACTAGAGAGTTCAAAACCCTTCCTGAATACTCAGTCCAACGCCCTCCTAATCTGTATTACACTGCTTTTGACCATTGCTTTGGTTTTGGGTACGATCCTCAAACTGACGATTACAAAATTGTAAGATTTGTTTTTAATAAAGTTTTTAATAAAGTTTTAGATGATGAATATGAATCGAAGATGCAAGTCGAGTTATATTCGCTTAAAAGCGATTCATGGACGGAAATTGTAGAACCTGATGGGCTTCCTTATGGCGGTGCTGTGTTTAATACATACGTAAATGGGTTTTATTATTGGCAGGCACTGGGGGATTTTGATAAGCTTGTTCTTGCATTTGATATGGTTAATGAAAAGTTTTCGACTTTACCTATGCCTGAATTTGATGTGTCTTTAACCCAATACTATTGGGAACTTTTGGAGTTCAATGGATTGCTTGGTGCTATTGTTTACCCAATTAAAGGAACCGAGAAATCTTTTGATTTATGGGTTATGAATGGATGTTGGAGTAAACAATTTAGTATTGAATCTGTACGTGGAGTTGAGAGGCCTTTGTGGTTTTGGAAAAATGGTGAATTGTTTCTTGCGAGCTCGGATCATGAATTAATGATGTTTGACCCCTCCACACGAGAGCTTAAAAATCTGGGTATCCATGCTTATGAAGATCAATGCAAATTATTGCTTATGTTGAGAGCTTGGTTTCATTCAGTGGAAGATCAGAGTATGAGGAACGTATAATACGTGTGCATCTGTTTTCTTCACCGTATTTTGCTGTGAATTGATTGCAGATAATGCTCCAGTGACGAGAAGCTTTAGTGTTGCATCTGTTTTCTTCGCCGTATTTTTTGGGATCCAATGCCGTTCGTTTAAGCTCGGATTGTCCTATAAGGTGAACCCCTCACTTTGTTAAGTAGTTTTGTTTTATCTGGAATCAATTTTCTGTTTCTAGGATTTGGTCCTTTTCTTAATTTAAACATATTCTTTATGAATTATGATCCGCAGATTTTTCATTCTTTAACTTCACTTCTAATGTTACTTCCTATTCTTAGATATGTGCCCCTTTTTATGTTTATTGCGTGAACTTCTATGGTTTTCCCGTGATGCATTTTTTATTTACCATTTCAATTTTAGTACAAGCTGTTGTTTTTCTGTTTTTTCAAATTTACGAGGATTAACCTTTTTTTTTTTCCCTGAAAATTAAGTTCAAAATATGTCCTGTGTTTTTATGGAAAGAATGATAAATGCTTATTCTTTAGGTTTTGTCGTGGATCTTTTATTGAACGCATAATTGTTTTGAACTTGTTATAGGATTTATTTTGGGATTACTTGAAATTTTACTTTTAACCGATGAATGATTATTCGTTGCCGGTCATACCTAAATACCAATGCAGAACAGCTGCTGTCCGTTGCCACTCGAAGTCGTTAATCCCTAGCAGCAGGCGCAACATCACAGCAAAATTCTCAAATCCAAGTATGTTTGATTCGGATTTTCTTGTGTTCTTTTTTTAGAAAGTTTAATTTGTTTTATAATTAAGAATGTCCACGTTGATTCATTACTCAGAATTCAAAAAAAAACAAAGAGGTTTAACGAACTTGACAAATATTTCATATTGTTTTGAAATCAAATATCTCTTGTTACTTATTAACCATCGTTACGCCATCTCTTTCGAACCTCTTCTTCCCTCCTGTACTCCTTATTGTTTCGTACAGGTTTGCATGTGACTTGTTAGTCCCACTTGTGAGCACATGTAGTTGATAGGCATGTATTTCTTCAATGTTACTCAGAATTTGGATTGCATGTTATATTAATAGTATGAAATTGTGTATTTTAAATAATTTTTGAATTTGTTCTATGTTATAAACTGAATATCAGAAATAATTGAGTGAAAAAAAGGGTAGAATACGAAGCTATGGCTTCATCCCATGCTTCTATTAATGCGGAGGAGATTGAAAATCAAGTTATTGCTGAAGTTTTCGGTCCTGAAAGTTATTGCTCAAGTTATTTACTCCAACCAAATTCTTTGGATCCAGCTCGTCTCAGTACATGTCATCACACAAACAGTCTTCTCAACAAGAAGTTATTCGATTAAAACAACAGTTGAGTGAATTTGATAAAAAAATTACTCAAATGAAAGCCGAAGCTGAAGCGAAAGAAGCAGCAAGAGAAGTAGAGAGAGCAGCGATAGAAGCAGAGAGAGAAGCATAATTTCAGAGAAAATATGAAGAACTTCAACAACAAATTGAAGCTATGAGGCAGATGATGCAGCAGAATCTTTATCGTAGTCGACTACTTCCGGAGACGATTGAAGCATTAATGTATGCTCAAAATTGGCTTTGGGCCGATATTAAAGGTAATATTATTATTTAGTTTATATTAGTTGTCAAATTGTGCTTAATTATCTTATTAAAGTTTAGTTACTAACTTATATTAATTTTACTTTCTATTATATATGTAGGTAGTAGTGAATTTAAATTGGAGCGTTCTCAGTTTGAAGAAATAGAGAATGATGATTGTAATACTGGAGTATTATATGTCACAAATATTGCCAGAAATTTTAGAATGTTGTGCCAAAGAACAAAAACATTATGTGTTTGTCATTTATGTTTCTAGACTTTAATTATGTCTTTTATTATGATGTTTTATGTATTTTAAGATCTATATTAACACTTAACTTAGATAATCCTTGGATTATTTTATTATGTTTCTTAATGGACATGTTTTTTTATGTTTGTTGCTTATGTATAACTTAAGTTTGCTGTCAGGCGGGTCTAGACGGGTACGTCACTAGTGGGTAGTGGGTGTGGGGATGAATTTGAGAATGTACCCGCGTGGGCGGGTATGGATTTGAAAATTTGTATCCATCATGGGTGGTGGGCGGGTGGTGGATTGAAAAATATTAGGTGGGCATGAGAATGGGGGAGGGGGTATCTGCACCCGACCCACCCGTTTGCCATCCGTAATTATAATAGTTAAATATTATGAATAAAGTAGAGTTGATGATAATGTAGAGATAACGCTGGAGATGAATTATTGTTTCATCTCTAGAGTAGAGATAGAGATGCTCTAGAGTATAAATGAGAGCTGGAGATGGCCTTAATCGATATTAGGAGCTGACAACCTTGGACTTAACTGTTACTTCATTAGAATTTTTTAAAATTAGAAGACTTAAAAGCTCTCAAATGTTTGAAGTTCGATTTTTAAAATCATTTCAAAGGGAATGATTTTATGAATATTTTATTGTATTTAATCCAAAACAATTATCGACGACTCCTATTTTCAACGGATTATGTCCCAGAAGAAAACAAATTCCTTCCAGCCCGCAAATTTTCAATAGGCGGGCAGAATACTGGTATTTCATAGCTTTTCCATCTCTTTCTGAACTTGAACAACGCAGAGTTTATAATAGCATCCTACCAGAGATTCAAGTAAGACTAGTAACTGTGAAAATGTTTATAATCATCTACAAGAACCGGCAACCGGCTCAAACCTGTTAACACGTTCAAATATGCGTATGCACAAACCCTTGAAACTATATACACATACTTACAAGGATGATTGTTGACATGTAAGCAATAGTTTAAAAACTAGGTGATGGTCATGTGGACAGCTCTCAAATGGCTATAACAATTATCACTGCTGCTAAAGAACTCTAAACATACCCAGCAAACATGCCTCCCGCACTTGCATTCGACGTGGTTACACCCATCAGTCTTCTCGATTGTATATCCGCATACGGGGCAAGTTTTTACCTGATCTTTCCCCTTGCACCACTCCTTCAAAGATGAATCGGGGTCTTCCTTGAACTCTCTGTACTTCTCACAAGACAGATACGGATGATATTCAAGATGACACCTAGTACAAGTCTCGGCATAACATGCTCCGCAGACAAATGGCTCACCGGAAGTGTCGCGATCAGCAACACGATAAACAGAGGGGCAATCAGGAGAAGGGCAAAACCGAAAGGCACCCCCACTGGATGCAACAAGGCACCCAAAGAAGCCCTAAAGAGTTCCTCTAACTTCTCAGTTGACAGCAGAGACTTCAAATCAGTAAGCAAAATGGGAGCTTTACAATATTGCCTAGCACAGCATACAGGAAAACTACCTGAGTTTCTAATGGCGGATTCGCATTGCTCCACCAAACACAAATGACAAAAGAGATGTGAACATCCTTCGAGCCGGTAGCCATCTTCTACTTCACACAAGCAAATGGGGCAGGTGACTTTACTGTCAGATATCTCAGCTAAATCTCTGCCTGCCTTAGCAATCTCAAGGACAATTTCTTCTACCTTTTGCTTCATCTCTTTGTCACCACGAATAGAAATAATATGATGCCGGGTATTAAGTGTGAATTCAGCCCCAGGTATCTTCTCTTTGAGTCCATGAAGGTCTGGCCCAAACTTCTTAACCACTTCCTTCATCATATCAGGAGGCAGACCCCGACCACGAAGTCGGACCTCAAGCTGCTTGCTTTCGTGGTAGGACAAAAGGGATTGAATCAATTTTTGCTGGGCTACAGAAGCATCATAAGAAGAACCGAAGATTCTCACATTGAGGCTATGCCGGTCAAAAAATATGTAGGTTCTTGTCTCTCGTTGCAATGATCTCATTAGATTAATGCCATCTCTAGAGAAAAGGTGCTGCAATATGGAAGGAGTGAGGCTGGCATGTTTTACAGTACTTCCATTCATTAGCTCTTCCACTGACCTTCTCAACTCTGCCACAGTTTTGGTGGCATTAGCGGATATTCTAATTCGACAGGAACCATTTTCATTTTCCTCCAGGAAGCAATCTGCACCTGTAAATGATTTATTGGCAATTTCAGAAGAAACATCTAATTTCCATAACCATTTTCAACATTAATATCATTTTTGGAGAATATATTTTGATATTTATATGCACCTTGTAATCAATTTTATCGCCCAGGCTTGGCAAAACTAAGCATCCATCATGCAGTTTAATTAAAATAGTTTAAAACTGACATAACCGCATTAAAATCCTAAAAGGTGATATGAATGTATATCCAGTGTTACAAGTTTGAAAATAACCCAAAGCACAATTGATTATCCGGAAAGAGACGGAAGGAAAAATAATTGATATAACTTAAATTAGATGCAAAACAAGAAACTCATTGACAACCTCTGGCCCGAGGCCTATATCTTCACACCCAAACACAAGCAGTGGCATGCATACTATGTTACTTGTCCTGGGTCTGATTGTTGAAGTAACAAATAATGCATTTATGACTTATGAACATGCACAAAGAACGTTGAGACAGAAACAGAAGACTAATTATAGTGCTATGACAGTTCAAGTACCTTTTACATGGCTGAAACTTTCTAGCAAAGAGTTGAGCTGCTTCTTAATAACGGCATAGACAGAAGAAGAGCAAGATATAGAACTGTGAAACTGTTGCTGGCATCTTATCTTTTGCCATGAAAGACATCCAGGTAATACTTTACCCTCTAGCTGTTCTAAAGCTTTTGCGGCCTCCAAATGTAATCTTCCATCAAAGGTGATCAGTGCTTTCATGAAAGTCTCCCTTGGTTCAGGCTCAAAAACCTGAACCTGACAACAGTTAGTATAGGGATTCCCTTTAGGCATAAAGGGTGATATTTCTCTGAGTAGTGCCTTCTCACAGGCATCACATGTTGGATTTTCCACAGCATCTCCTCTCACGAGAAAAAAATCATGGATTTTCCTTTCCGTTGCCAAACATAGTATATCCCAAATTTCAGCTTCAGAAAGATCTTTATCGATTCCATATATCATAATAGAATCATTACATTTCCTGCTAACTTCACAACGAACATATTTATCTGCTATTACTAGAGAAGAGAAATCATCCAAAATGGACCTAACATCAACGAGATTACATTTAATGATTCCAAATCCTTTACTGACCCTACGAGGCCAATTAACTTTAGCTTTGACAGCAGGGAAAGAGAACATCTTATGATCACCCCCAATGGATGTCTGTGAAGGAAGTACCTTCAGTGAAGAGCCAGCAAATTTTAACCCATCCAGCTCAGCAGCTTTTCTGGCAGCATCAGGAGTTAGGAACGTTATCTTACCCCATTTTTCCTTTTCATCTGTTTCCTTCCCACTGGCTTGAGATTTATTGACCGAGCAAACACTGCCATTGGAATAATCCTCAAAGAGCATCAAAAGCTCCATATCATAGAAGGTATTAACATTTGAATGGAATACATCAACGGACAAATATCTTTTATCAACTTCAAGATGCTTAATCTCAGCACCAGCTCCAAAAAGTGCCATAGATGGTGAGGCTTTCCGTCCATGAAATAAAGGTTTCTCCATGCATTCATTAAGCAACCATTTCTTTTCACATTCCACCACCTCAGTTACAAAGTCCAGAACCTTCTGCATGTCCACTGATGAAGCAAACAGCAGAATCACATTCTGGTCAACATTGACTTCAACACCAACCTGTTCATTCATACAAGCAGTCCTAATCCGTGATAAAAGACATCGAAGAGTGTGGTTAGATTTCCCACGGAATTTTTTAATAGAGTATTACCAAAACCAGTCAATGCCTTCACTTGTAACTTCCGGCTTTCCATCAGAGAGGCATCAAACAAGGGTGGAGGATCCAGAGTAGCCAAAGATTCAAAATCAAAAGCAGTTACACAGACCAAATACTGATTATTGACAGATAAGAGTTCACCGAAGACAACCCAACTTGGCTTCTCACCAAATATCAGTAATGAACATGAAGGATGCAGTTGAACATGTTGCCCGGTCAATGCCACTTCATAACCAAGTTGATCATGTCCAGAATACATGGCTACATTTTCGGCCAGGGAAGAAAGTATAATCGCCTTCAAAATTTTATCACGCTCAGTAGACTTATGAGGATCCCATATTAAGTAACTTGGAATAATAACAGCAAGCTCCTTTTTCAGACAAATTTCCAATTCGAAGACCGTGTCTTGGCATCTACGCATTGATTTAGCGTTTATGCTGTTTTCCCAGCACCAATTATTTTTCCTGTCGGAGGGAAGAGCTTCCCATTCCTTGTACACAGAGAGCAGAGTAAAGAGATCACCATTGCGATGGCAAAATTGCACCTTAAGACAATCAGCTTTCGCTTTATCATCATCACTTCCCACCCTGCAAATATGCTACTGGCATTTGCCATAACAGCAGCAAGAACAAGGCCCTCCCTACGCAGGCCAGAATGAAAGCAAGTGAGCATTAGTTTACCAAGACGAGGCTCAATCCCCAATTTTACCAAGTAGCGTCCTTCATCAGTTAATTCAAAAACACCATTTTTTTCCACAATGGCTCCCAACTGGACAAGATTCCTAGTTGCCGAGTCAATGGCTTTAGGACTAGGTGCATCAACAAAATCAAAACTCTGAACATTCTTGATTCCCAAAGCAAGGATCCTCAGAACTGCAATACCAAGATGAACTCTACGAATCTCAGGCTCCTGATTAGGGGCCATTAACTCAAAATCACTTGCTGTGTATAGTCTGTAACATCTTCCCGGTTCAGTCCTCCCAGCACGACCAGCTCGCTGATTGGCTGAACTCTG